CAGGGGACGTCCACGTTTCGAGTCGGCAAAGAAACATGTGCGTGTGTTTGTGTTACCAAGACAGGAAGGTGGGTGTTTGGAAGCAACTAAGGAAAGCACGGGTGCCACTGGTGAGGGCGCACTAGAAGCGTGCCTGAAGTGGGCCTGGGAGCGTCGCGCACGCTGGGTGGAGCTTGGGAGCAATTGAGGGTGAAGTTTATTGCCTTTTCGTCCAAGGTCAAAACTTTCGCATGCGGAAGCATTTCAGCTGCCACTTTGTGCCAACTTCAATTGCTTCGCAAGCATGGGGATGCACTATCGTGACAACACGATGATGCAAGCTTGAAAGTAGAGTCGGGGCTGACAGCTTGAAAATCCGAATGCGCCTTGCTTCCAAACTTGGAAAGTTGCATCGGGAGATCTTGCGCAGTGAAGCCGCAGCTGTGTTGCAGTCTTCGTCCGCATGCTTGAGTTGCCGCAGCCTTTTGAACACTTGTGCTTGGCCGAAATGTGCGCAATATTCATGAGTGTGGGAACCGGAGAACACATTTGTGTATAGAGGAGCGCACATATTGGCTTCCAGTGAGACAGAGATGTGAGAGTCCAAAGCAAGAAGCGAAGCTTTGAAGGAGCTGTCAAAAGTCGTCGATTTCTAAATAGAGCGCTAATACAAAACTTCTATTTTGGGGTCGCAGCTGGGCAAGCGGAAAGTGGTAGGTTTCTACATAGAACGCCTACTACGTGAAATTTCGAGACCTTTGACGGCAGAGCAACATTCGAAAAATCACTGGGATTCTTGCTGGTGCTGGTCGCAAGCGCAACACGCAAGTCCAGCAAACAGCACGGCTGCCGCTGTAGCCCCCGCTGAGGCTGAGTTGTCCAGATGATTGCTGTTGCAACAGAAGCATGTATGTGTGTATACGTCTACACATGTACGTGTGTATGTTAGGATCCTATGGAATCTCAGTTTTAAACACGAAACCTAACCGCTGCTTGTATCCTGGCGTTCGCATTCTGCGACCTAGGTAGAGCGGTACCTTGGTGTCCAAACTAGGCCTTCCTCCAAATCACGATCATGAATACAAGCCCAAGCACCGAATTTTGACATAGAGCGGCTTCGAAACGATAAAAGTACCAGACACGCAACAAAAGAATTGGATAAACCTTTAAACAAATATAAACACCCAAAACATCAACATCGACATGAAAAAACAAGTTATTGAATGATCGAGGTTTAATTTAGGCTGACCAGCAACCATAGCAAGGATGCATCCTTCGCCGTAGTTAATGCATTGCTTTCCGCTTTTGCTGGAAAGGAGGAAAAAAGGAGTCCAGCAGGCGTGGCTACGCAGCATTGCTTCTGAAAAATCTCCTGACGATGATGCTGTTCGCAGCAAAAAAAGCGTTTTCGACAAAATCACGATCATGAGCTCCTCACCGCATCCGCGTTTAAGAAAGAAACACATGGAAAAAAGAAAAAAAACACATGGGCAAGCAAGGAGTTGTCCGGAATGGATAAGAAGATCGCTCTTTCGTATTAGCGATTGAT